TATTCGATAATTGAAGAATGAAGATCCCGCAATTTCTCTGTGCATCTGTTCAGTGAAAGTAATGATGTACAAATCGGGATTTGCACATAAAAATGCCACTTAATTATTGTAGTACGGCGCCAAAAATGGTATTTTCATCTCATAAGTCCCTCGTTTTTATATAACAAATAAATAAATAGGAAGATGCCTCTCAAACGCAGTGAAAGTCGATTTGAATCGTGATATCTCAGCAGGCGCTTTGTTGTTTTATGAAAAACAAATGAATATTAATGCGTACTTGATTATTTTTAGAATAATAGGTAGTTAAATATGATCACTACATTATTTATTGCCTGTTTATGTTGTTGAGTGATTAAAAGAGTGAAAATAATAATAAATTCTATTAATGAAGAATTAACAACTACCTGTTAAACCATAAAACAAACATAAACTTTAATTTATAATCTTTAGTGACAGTTGTCAAATGTCATACCTCAATACAAAAGTATTAAATAGTTTCTTGGCGCCAATATTTGATTGTTAGTCTATTTTAAAGGGATAAATTTTGATTTACACAGATTATTTCCCTCATTATAATTTGAACCAATCAAAAGCCTTGAATTTTCGAATAAATTTCGTTTAAATAAGAGATTAAATCACTAGAACCAAAGATAATACTAGAACGATTAAATTTTATCCTCCATATTGGATTTTTGTTTACGATTTTATGGTGTTATTTGCAAGTTTTAACAAACATTTTTTAAAAAACAATAAAAAATAAGTTATCTAGTTTACGAAATATCAATTATTACTTATTACATACCTTAAATTAATGGAATTTTCTTTAAAAAAATATTTATAAATTTTGACACATACGTCAGATTTTATGAATTGTCAAATAGTTTCCTTTAATTCGAGAAATAATCTAGACGTATATCACTCAACCTATAAATTTAATCTGTCAAACTATGCTCAGTAACTTTTTTATTTGATTTTTCTTTTTGGAAAATAGTTTCATGCAAAATAATTAAAAATAAAACCCCTCGACCGGTACGCGGTCTCGTGATTTTATTAAATTGTTTTGCATTCAACATTTTCCAAGAAAACCCAAACAAAAAACTACTGAGCCGTGTTTAACCGATTAAATTCATAGTTCTCGTGATATAATATATGAAAAATATGAGATTTTAACGCCGGTAGATTTCCAAGTTAGAAATTCTAACGGGAATTCCAATAAATACAACTGTCACTTTTTGTACCTTTAACATTTCCCGTGTAAGAATTTTTAATACTTTTTTTGCAACATAATCAAATTTTGAAATTATTTTAAATAATATTTTAAATTACCAATAATTGTTAAGTTTAATTAAAATAATAACGGGCAATGTTAATGGTGCAACTTACGTCAAAAATGTTTATGGGATAGTTACTTTATTTTCGCATAGATGTCATAATATGAATTTTTTTAGACACTCATTTAATTAAGCACTCGCTCGCAAGCTCGCTCGTGACTAAAATGGCGATTATCAAACTTGATACATAATATACTATTGTGACCAACTTAAAATTGGCTTTCGAGAAAAAACAGCACATGTCATCAAACTTAACTAAAAATCCCTTTTAATTTTTTTTTAGAAATCCGGAGGAGGCGGCGGCGGCGGAGGTGGCTTCGGAGGCGGTGGCGGCGGCGGATTCGGAGGCGGCGGCGGTTTCGGAGGCGGTAAGATAACTTGATTTTTTTTTTAATTTCTTTTAAATTAATTTTGTTTGTTTGTAGGCATTGGAGGTGGAATCGGCGGTGGTATCGGCGGCGGTATCGGCGGCGGCATTGGCGGCGGTAAGTTAGGATCAAATTTAAAAAAAAAATATTTTTTTTTTATTTTTTTTTTATTTTTTTTTATCTTTAGGTCATGGTGGAGACATTGGAGGCGGTATTGGGGGCGGTGGCGGCGGTGGTATCTCCTCCAGCTACGGAGTCCCCGGAAAATCAGGATATTAAGCCCACATCTACCAAGTACCTCCATATGCCACTTTTGGATAAAAAAATTAACAAATTTCGCCATATTTTCTAGACAAAAAAAAAAAGAAAATTAATTTGTAATTATTTTGTTCAATTTTGACTTATCCAATGACGCAATGATGCTTAAAACGGTGATTCAAGGCTCGTTTGATTTTCAAACAAGTCGATTGTTTTTTATTAATATTTTTTTATAAAAAGTGTTTTTTGAAAACCGGAGGCTTATCTTTGATCCAAGACTTAAGTTCGCCGTATAAAACAAAAAAGATCCACTCCCGGTTTTCATAAAATACATATTTTTTTTGTAAATATTGTGCAATATATTGTATTTTTATATATTTTTTGTATATTTTATGAATACGGTGACAAATAAATGTATTTTTAGTATAATAATCCATTTTATTAATTTTTATACCAAATATGGTCTCTACACCTTAAAACCCAACCAATATATGTACAAGTAGACCCAAGTACTACTAATGCTCTTATTGCGATCTTTAAGGTCGCTTTAAAACTACAATAAAACCAAATGATCTCCAAGACTGAATTTTACAACTACTCGTATAATAAAACCATTTAGTTTTAATTTTATATTTAGCCAATAAATAGCCAATGTCAAGAGTAATATAAAACCAGATAAGTTCAATAGGGCATTAAGAGCAAACAGTCTTTTTTAATTTTAATTTAAAGAGTACATTGAATTAAAAGCATTGGTAGAAGAGTTACAGTTGAGTGGCCAGCCCGACACCAGACCTTACCCCATTGGATTTTTTTGTGGGGTTACCTTAAAAATAAAGTTTATGTCAGCAAACCAAATTATATGGGTGATTCTACAAAAGTTGGGCAACTTTTGACCTGATTTTGTTTATATAGTTTTCGGAGAAAATTAAACAGTATTTTGTTATGAGAACATAGATAATATAATAAATATACTGTTCCAGACCGGGCCAGTCACTTTTTCAAACAGTTAATATCTGTGTTTTCTAAATTTGAATGCAAGGGAAGTGTCGAGTATACCAGGGTACTAATTAAATACATAATTTATTGGAAACTATAAGATTTATTGCAACTTGAGTTTAGGGATAATGACATTAAATAAAGAAGTTCTGCTCGAGCAGAATTAAAGTTTGCGAAAAAAAGTTAACCAAAAGTTCAAACATGGAACTGACGACACGGTACTGATGAATGGGATACAAATTTGAGATTATAATTCGGAATTAAGTATTTTACTGATATTTTTTTTAGTGGATGCTACTTATCAACAAATCACATATAGCCTTATATAAATTACAATAAAATATATATACGTAAGAAAATAACTACCACAGTACTGAAATTTTGACTGGAGCTATAGGTGCATTCACCACAACTTCGCCGCTTGCATTGTTTTCAAGACTGTCTGCAAAGGGCAGGCTATGTAGGTAATTTTTTTACCAACACTTGAGTTAAAACGAGGACTTGACGTTTAAACTTCAATATTTCGCAGGAATTTTGAATTTTAACATTGGACAGACAGACAGAACTGACGTGTAAAAGTGAGTACAAAGATTATCAATTTTTTAAAAATTGCTATTATTTGAATCTATGATAAAATATGAAAAATACATAATTTAATGTTTTATAGTTTGTAGTGGAATTGATAAATTAAAGATAAATTAAATATATTTTAAAATAAAATCACTCAAATATTTGATTCAGGAGCTGTGACACGCCAAGGTACTGATGTTTTGAATATTTATTATGTTTTTCTACAAAAAAATACATTAATATTGGGTGGACAAGTTAAAAAAACCTGGATCTTTTGTAATATACTAAAATATTTACAAAAAATATTAAAATACCCACTCTGTTGACTGATGACATCAAGTTGTCCTACTTTTGCAGAATCACTCATATTGAAGACCTTAAAAAGAGTTTCCGACACTAAACTCGTTTAATACCTCCAGAAATGCTGGAAAATGCTAAAAATGTTTTTATAATCCTCTAGCATTTTGCCAAAAACCATAGGAGCTGAGTTTAAACATCTTTTATAGTAACCCCATATTTATCATAGATAATTAAGTTACAGTTAAGGTTTTACATTTTACATGACGACCTTTTTTGTTCAAAGTAAATGAAAACTCATTAAATGGAATCAAAACGCCCAAAAACGTAACTCAAAAAATAAAATGGGTTCAATCATATGGCCAAGCATGAGTCTTAAACAATGCAAATTAAATGTGTACGATTTAATTATGCATAACAAAAATAGAGTTAAATTGTAATTAACTTGGCAACGCTGTATTTTCCAAAGCCGATTTATAAGTATATAAAAACCGTTGCTATAGCATATATGGAAACAAAATAAAAAACGCATTTACAGAGAGCTGATATTTACATGGTTGACATTTGTGTCAAAAACAACTTAGTTTTATTAATAAAAACCTTAAACAATTGTTTTCCATCCTTTCATATAAATAAATAATCTCAAAACATTGAAATAAGCTAAAGATTCAATTTTTAATCCCTACTACTTTTACTACTCGCTGGAAAAAAATATCTATATAGATAGATAGATGGGAGTAGGTACTTTTTTAAATAAATATTAACCCATTTATGATATTTTTTATAAAATATTAAGGGAATAAGATAAAATTAAGAATTAAGAATACAATTACCTTTAATTTTTGGAAGAAATTTTCTACACAATACACTCAAAATATGCAATAAGTATAAAAATCCGACATGTTTAAAAACAAATGATTTGATCAAATTTTCACTACCAACATTTAAAAAATTTACCAAAACTCGAAAGAAAAACTATTTGACTACGAAAACAAATTTTAAATAAAAAATTAACTACTAAAAGCGTCATCTTTGACTAAAATCACTTTAGTTTGAAATAAATAATAATAAATAAGAAGTTAACTTAAAAATAATGTAACGGTTTAATGTTGGTACTCTCTACCACAGATGGCGCCATAATTTAAAATCAAACAATTATTAAAGATTATTATTTATTTAGCTTATAACAGCGTACAAAAATTAATAAAAAATACAAAAACATAGCTAAAAATACTTATAAAACTAACGAACTTAATCCTACTAGTTGTATAAAGCTTTTTATGTCTTAAAATATTTATTTACATTTATAACTATTTCAGCTAAACAAAACTACTTAAAAATACGTTTGTCACCTTATTTGCTTAAAAATCACATGTATATATTTGTATGTTATACTGGCGGGAGGTATTTTATAGTATTTACAGATTAACGACCGTTTAGGGATTTTTTTTTATTAATATGGGCCGTTTCCACCTCCTGGGGCTCCGTAGGAGTTGGATGGTGGTGCTGGAGGGGCTGCTGGGGCACCATATTTGTTATCTGGTACGCCACTGGCGGGGTAACCACCCTCCTCCTTCTAAAATATTAAAATAACGTTAATTTAAAATAAAAATGATTCTTATAGGGATATTAATTGTCTTAAGTTTGCCACCCTGGCAGTCGAGTTCATTTATTTTAAATGTTTGCCGTTTTCAAGTTGAAACGATTTTAATTGTTGTTTTTAAACGTTTTAAGTGAAAAATTGCATGTTTGATAGTGAAACAATCCACTTTGGTAAGTTTTTTTCGATTTACCTATAATGAAACATTGCAAATGTTGCGCAGTTTTAAGAAAAATCATCCTACATTATTTTTTGTATTGATGTTGGTTATTTGTTTTCAAACTTTAAGTAAGTTTTTGTGTTGGTAACTTTTATCTCAATAAAAATGTGGAATTTGAAGTAATAATAATTATCTAATTAGGTAAGTTTTTAATATTTTTTCTACGAGCACTATGTAAAAGTCACATTTCGTATTGTCATCGTTGCTTAGAAAATGAATCTTTTCATTGGCAAGGCAAAACACGAATGTAAAGTGACATTTCTGTGTGAAAAGTGACAGGTCTGTGTGAAAAGAAATTGACAGCATCGTTTGACATTCGTTTCAAAACTTGTATTTTATTTGTAAATATCATTTAGAAAATATTAAATTCTAATTTTTAGTGCCTTTATTTAAATTGAGAAGGTAAGTTTATTGATTTTAAGTAACTTATACGTTAAAAATTAAAAGAATAAGATGAAAGTAATTTTAACAGAGCTGTCAAACACGTTTTTAGGTTATTTTGTTTTGTATAAATTTGAATATAATAAAAAATAAAAGGGTCGTAGAAAAAATTGTGTTTTACTTGTAAGAAAAGCTTTCTTCAAGCTCGTGTTAATGCACTCGGCCTAACGGCCTCGTAAGCAACTTAAACACTCGCATGAAAAAGTCGCTTTTTAAAACTTGTAAAACAAATAACTATTTTAATGATGCAGAGTGGCATGGCCTACTACATTTTACACGTATTTTATCTTGCCAAATCCCTCTAGATTATTTGTAAACGTCAAAACGTGTATTTGAAGTACAGTATTTCTATGACTTCTTAAACATTTTTTGACACATTTTCTTCATTTTTTGTCTCACCTGGGTCTTATATCTGATGAAATAAACTTCCGGTTTGCTGGGTTGAGTTGGAGCTGGAGTTGGGATTACGATATCAGGTTGTTCTTCCGGTTTCTTGACTAATACGTATACCAATGTTTTTTCTTCGTTTTGAGGTTGGACTGGGATTTCGGGGGCGGTCGGGGTTGGAGCAGTAGGTGCCTAAAAATAAATAAAACGTTATGGATATTGAAATAAATTTAAATTAAAACTTTTATCATTATTATTAAAGGAATTAAGACACTACTGGTTCTGTTCTTTGAATTTTGTATATATTTTACTGCTGTTAGTGTTATTTACGTTGTTTTTGCCGTGATATTTGTAATTATTAATAAATAATAATAATAAAACCTAAAAAAATAAATATAAACAATTACAATATAAATTTATATTGTAATTGTTTATATTTATTTTTTTAGGTTTTAAACTTTAAACTACGTTTTTAATATACTTAATTATATTTTCTGTATTTATTTCCCCAGACAAGTTATTACTTACGGCATTACTTTGTATTTATTTTGCCAATTATTTTTATTATACTGTATATTAGGGTGATTCATTTTCGCAAAGTTTTTGTTTTTTTTCGGTGCTCAAGCAAAATATTAATCTGCATATAGGAAAAAACATTCTCACCAAGTTTGAGCTCTTAATAATATTAATATATATTAATTTTAAGCACTTGCTATTTAAATTTAAAGTTTTACCGTTTAAAATGCATGTAAAAAATATATATATTTTTTCAAATTTCTAATGCTTACCCACCTTTGACAATATTGCAAGTCGGTTTAATACACCTTATGGGGAATTTCACGCTCTTTAAAATTGCTTTTGAGTTTTTTTTTGTAACTCGCATTGGTTCACCAGTAGGAGTCGTCAAAGGACAGTTTTTGAAAAAAATCGTTTTTTTAAATTTTTCGAGCAAATCGCCAAAAGTAGTGAGAAAAAAGGGCTGATTCATAAAAAAAAAGTTATCCAACCAATATTTAATGAATTTACTGCCATTTTTATAACTGAAAACGTAAGAAATTGATAGAACTTTTTTAAAATTATTATGATTTCTCACTCATAATGAATATGAAAATAACACATAAATTCATAAAAAAAACAACAAAACTTTAATCGGAATATACAGAAGGTTATGTAACATATTTCAAATTTCGCTTCAAAAAATTAAATAATCTTCATTTATATTTTTTTTGCTATATGACAGAAATGTTGAAAAATTGCAAAATCCACGTTACAATTTTCTTATTGTTTTTTTATGAATCTATGTGTTGTTTTCATATTCATTATAAGTGAGAAATCAATAATTTTAAAAAACTTCTTAGTGTAGGGAAATATAATGATAATAAATAGAAAAAATCAATCTAAATAACATTATGAGTTGGTAATTATCAATTTCTTACGTTTTCAGTTATAAAAATGGCTGTTAATTCATTAAATATTGGTTGGATAACTTTTTTTTATGATTCAGCCCTTTTTTCTCCCTACTTTTTGCGGTTTGTTGGAAAAAATTAAAAAAAAAAACGATTTTTTTCAAAAACTGTCGTTTGACGACTCCTACTGGTGAACAAAAAAAAACTCAAAAGCAATTTTAAAGAGCGTGAAATTCCCCATAAGGTGTATTAAACCGATTTGCAATATTGTCAAAGGTGGGTAAGCATTAGAAATTTGAAAAAAAAAATATTTTTTACATGCATTTTAAACGGTAAAACTTTAAATTTAAATAGTAAGTACTTAAAATTTATATTAAGAGCTCAAACTCTTTGAGAATTTTTTTTCTATATGCAGATTAATATTTTGCTTGAGCACCGAAGAAAACAAAAACTTTGCGGAAATGAATCACCCTACTGTATATATTTAATTAATTTGTAAGTTTTATATGGTAAAATAAACATTATTATTATTAAAAAAAAAAAAAAAATTAGGAAATATTTTAACCTTGATGAAGATAATCTTGTAATGCTTCTGGGCGGGCGCAACAGGTATGGGCTTCCTGGGTGCCTGGTATTCCGGCTCTGGTGGCGGCACGTGCACGTACACGTGCTTATGTATGGATGGGGGGGCGGCAGGCGGGCCGTAGCTGTTGCTTGGCGGTCCGTAACTGTTGCTAGGTGGGCCGCTCGGTGGGGCTCCGTATGAGCTGCTAGGGCCGCTGGGGCCGCTGCTGTAGCCGCCGCCGCCGCCGCCTCCGCCGCTGCTGCTGAAGCCTGCCTCCGGCCTGGCGTACGCCACTGCCAGGAGGGCAGATATCGCCTGCAAAATAAAAAAAAATGTGTCAATTTTAGTAGTAAAATTATAAAATATAATTTTTTACAAATTTATACTAAAGAATCTGTGAAAAAAACAACAGTAAAATTTTTTTTCAGATTTTCATCTTATTTTATAAAAAATATGTACAAAATCAAATAATATCAAGAGGTAAATTTTGATAAAACCTTAATAAAAGTAAACATTTCATTGACAGGCATTTATTTTTTACAAAATTAAAACTATTATCATGTTATGTTATTAGGGTTTTAAAATGTCTTAAAAAAATTGAAAAATTAGGGAAAAAAGCTGTTTTTCCGTTTTTTTACAGGCCTTCGAAAAATTGATTTTTTTTTTAAATATACACATTTTAAAAAAGTAGCAATCAACAACTTAACACATTATTTTAATAAAAAAAATATCCTTTTTTACAGAAAAAAAAACCTAAATATTGAATTAAATTAAATTGATTTAAGAAAATAAACGTAATTTAAAGTACCTATTTAGTATTTAAAAAATGGTACTTCTGCTGAAGACCTTAATTGTGGAGCAATCAGACAAAAGCAGATAAATCCAGTTTTGTTAAAAAATGAGTTAAGTATGAACCAACAGTAAATGAGGTAAGGTTAATCCATTGGTGAATTCAGAATTAAGCCAAACCAAGTAATTGATATAGAATACCGGTCTCGAAACCGAGCAAATCAAGCAGCAGATAAATCCAAATTAATACAATTTAAAGTATTGTTTCCAATAAAATAAAAAAATCACATTATTGTTATTTTAAATTAACTTAAATGGCATTAACATTTTTCAGATTAATCCTGGACCACCCTGTATAGGTCAATGGATAAAACTGTTTTTTTATTCCTATTTCAAGCAACACTAGATAAATCCATTTTGGTTTTTTACTATAACACATGATGCAGGTGGACAAAAATAAAACAAATGAATTTTAAGATCTTATAACACTATACTCTATAGAATTCATGGGTTGTTCTTTGTGAAAATGTTGCAGAACGAAAAATATTTGTTTTTCGCTGAAAACTCGAAACTGCTTAAAACGGATTTATCTGCTTTTGTCTGATTGCTCCACAATTATATACTCTCACAATGTCAAATTGACATTAATATTTATTATTGATAATTTTATTGTTAATTATCAATAATAAATATTAATGTCAATTTGACATTGTCAGAGTATATATATAGTTATTAACTATGTCAAAAATAATATCAGATTCTAAAGTAAAAGAACTTTTAAGGGCAAAACTTCATTTTGATGAAGTTATGCCAAATGCCTCAATGGCAGAAAAAGTACATCGCCTTAAGGACATTTTTGGAGTAAAAAAAGTAACGAATTTGGTTTTACAAATATTAAATCATACATTATTTTCAACTAAGCAGATGAAAATTTTTTAAAATTTTTAATAATAAGGGAAATAAAAAAACAAAAAATAAAAATTATTTGGGGTTCACGGAAATGTTTCTTCCTTTAATTTGCAAGTTACTGATCATTAAAGTCCTAGACAATATATACATTATAATTATTATTAAGCCACTACAAGTATTAAAGTCCAGTGGCCATTCACCATTGGAGTCCAATGATTGGTCAACATTCACGTGTCTTCACATAAAATTTTAATTTCTTTTATATAAATTCTTTTCAAAGCGAAGATTATTATACGCTAGGAATACTTTGTCTCTCCTGGGCCGTACTCAGCTATATTTAACTCTTTTTATATGATTTTACTCATCTACGCACCACCAAAGCCAAATTAATTTTTTGAAAAATTGACTTCAGCATTTTGTTCGTATTACCCTTTGTATAAAATGAAAAAAATGCAAAAGTAAATTTTTCTGAAAATTTCTCATTTTTTTTATTTGAATATGTACAGGGTGGTCCACGTAAGGTGACCCATATACTTATCTCAGAAACTACTGGAGTCACAAAAAATTTGTAAGGAACAAATATTCACGAAGTAAAAAATATTTTTAAAATATTATATTTTCATTTATACAGGGTGTTCGGTTTTCCTTGGGACGATACCAACTTTCTTATTTTCAATGGAACACCCTGTATTTTTTTGCATTTTTGGATTCTTCCCACTCTTTTAGGTATACTTTGTAAATATATTAAATAAGAAAATGTTAATACTTTTTGAGTAAAATTAAGATTTATTAAAATTTCTCTAAATGTAGACACTCGCTAAAAGTTAAAAATAACCAACTAAAAGTTATTATTTTTTATATTATGTAGTATCCATCTCTTTAATAATAAGTAAGCTATAAGTTAATTATTATATTTTTTGGAAAATATCATACAGGGTGTTTTCTATGTCCCGTTGAAAATAACGATTTTAAAAGTTTAAAATCTTGTTTTTATTCAATGGAACACCCTATATATTTTTGCATAATTGGATAGAATAAGTAATTACCTTTCATTTTATATATATATGTCCTATATATAGGTATACCTAAACCTAACAGAAAAAAAAATATTCGCATTTTTCACAATTAGTAGCTTTTTTCCAATTACCTTAGTTAAATTTTCATTATTCAAAGAAAACACCCTGTATAATATTTTCCAAAAAATAAATAAATTAACTTATAGCTCACTTATTATTAAAGAGATGAATGCTACATAATATAAAAAATAATAACTTTTAGTTGGTTATTTTTAACTTTTAGCGAATGTCTACATTTAGAGAAATTTTAATAAATCCTCATTTTACTCAAAAAGTATTAACATTTTCTTAATTAATATATTTACAAAGTATACCTAAAAGAGTGTGTAGAATCCAAAAATGCAAAAAAATATAGGGTGTTCCATTGAAAATAAGAAAGTTGGTATCGTCCCAAGGAAAACCGAACACCCTGTATAAATGAAAATATAATATTTTAAAAATATTTTTTACTTCGTGAATATTTGTTTCTTACAAATTTTTTGTGACTCCAGTAGTTTCTGAGATAAGTATATGGGTCACCTTACGTGGATCACCTAAAAAAAATATTCGCATTTTACAAAATTAGTAGCTTTGCGCGTATGGTAATTATTATAGTAATATATATTTATATATAAAAGCATTTTTATTTATTGTTATTGAAATTTATTTATTTGAATAATGAAAATTTAACTAAGGTAATTGGAAAAAAGCTACTGATTGTGAAAAATGCGAATATTTTTTTTTCTGTTAGGTTTAGGTATAGGACATATATATATAAAATTAAAGGTAATTACTTATTCTATCCAATTATGCAAAAATATATAGGGTGTTCCATTGAAGAAAAACAAGATTTTAAACTTTTAAAATCGCTATTTTCAACGGGACATAGAAAACACCCTGTATGATATTTTCCAAAAAATATAATAATTAACTTATAGCTTACTTTTTATTAAAGAGATGGATACTACATAATATAAAAAATAATAACTTTTAGTTGATTATTTTTAACTTTTAGCGAGTGTCTACATTTAGAGAAATTTTAATAAATCTTAATTTTACTCAAAAAGTATTAACATTTTCTTAATTAATATATTTACAAAGTATACCTAAAAGAGTGGGTAGAATCCAAAAATGCAAAAAATACAGGGTGTTCCATTGAAAATAAGAAAGTTGGTATCGTCCCAAGGAAAACCGAACACCCTGTATAAATGAAAATATAATATTTTAAAAATATTTTTTACTTCGTGAATATTTGTTTCTTACAAATTTTTTGTGACTCCAGTAGTTTCTGAGATAAGTATATGGGTCACCTTACGTGGACCACCCTGTACAAGGTTGGTTATATTAGAGAAAATTTGAGTAAATTTATACAAGCCCATTAAAATGACATTTAAAAAATAAATAATAAAATCAGCGGTTCTCAAAAAATTTGAAAAAAAAATGAAAACCTGTCAAAAACCAAAACTGTACCCACCCAAACTCAATTTTTTTAAATGAAAAAACCACCTTTGTGATACCTCATTGGAAAGCTCATACAAATTGCTATTTAACACTACTAAAAAAATAATTTTTAATAGTTTAATTTTTGAAAAATACGCAAAAATTTTAATGATTATTTATTTCAATTTATCCTTATAAATGTCAAATTAAACTATTTTGCTGTTGTAAAAACATTAGTAAAAAAACTGGAGAACACAAAATAATAGACGTCTATTCTTAAATTCCCCTCGAACATTTTTGAACATTGACATTCTTGAACTATTCGCAGATCTTCAATAGAATGAGGGTGAGTTTTGTAGACCACAGATTTTAAGTGACCCCATAAGTACTGTACTAAAAAAATGTAATATATTTTTTAGGTCCAGACTTATAATAGAGCATTGCTTGTTTTTATATAACATTTCTTTATAAATTTAATTATATCCATAACTTGTTTATTTACATAAATAGATAAAAATAAATATAATTAAAAGTGATGCAACTTGGCAAACGCATTATTATTAATTATGTAAAAACTCGTAACAATGAATTAAACAAAATTAAAATGTATTTTAAATTACAATCATAATAATAATGCACAATTATAATTATCATCATCTAAATTTCAAAACAAAAATTTAGAAACTGTAACTTAATTACCAACATCATACTATTGTTAACAACTGGGTTGTTATGTGTAATTAATCTATTTAATTTACATTTTATTATTACAAATCTGACAATTAAAAAAAAATGGTTTTATTTGTGCCAAAATTTATATCCTAAAAATGCACTCCTACAAAACTCCTAGCTCCGTTTTTTGCTACCTGCTTTTCTACGAACAGTTTTTATTTGTTATTCCACATTACAAATTATGTTAAGCTTTCACTAAATATTATTTTTATGTGCAATGAATTTAAATATAGTATGACTTAATTGTCATCATTTTCCACCAAATTTCGTCACAACATAAAAAAATTTCTATTCACGAAACGTTTTTTAAATTCGTTCTTCTTTTTGCATATCAATTAATTAATTTAATTCATTTTGTTTGTAAGCTATTGTGATTCAAGTCAAGAAGTAAATTTCACTTTATTACTTTAATGTATTGTTTGTAAATAAGGATATAATAATTATATCCTATACAGGTTGTCCGGAAATATTGTTAATATATTTGAGGATTTAAAGCTTGGACTTTCTGTAAATGATACACTGAGAAAAATAAATTTCTTAAATAAAAAGTAAGAAATGCTATGCCGTTTGATATTAAAACAATAAACATTTTGTAAACGTGGGTGAATATATTGAGATGTACCCCAAGTGAAAATGATTATTTTTTATTTTTGTTCCACTGTTAGTTTAGAAAGGGGTTTTTGGGAAGCCACCAGGTCTAGTAATAGCATAACATAAGTGGTTCTGCACTAATGCAAGAATTTTAAGAAATCATACATTTTGAATATTAGAGCTTCACGGAGGTTAGGATTTCGTATGTTTTTTTTAAACATCCCTTTGTATATTTGAAATAGGTTATTGTATCTTTTGACACATTAATATTTTTTAAAAATACAATTGTACATACATACATAAAATATTTATAAAAAAAATATATAGGTTTTTAAATAGCAAATTAATGAACTTAAACTTTTGAATTATAAAAACAAAAAGAGAGTATAGAATTAATTTTTGTAACACCTACATAAATGGTAATACAAATTATTTCTTTTAATTTTTAATAATATTTTATATTTGATTCGATTGCTTTGGATGTGTTTAATTTACTTAGTGAACTGATATTTTTAGTATGCTTTTACTACCTCAGATATTTGAAAACATATAGGTTAACCTAGAAAAAGTAACAGTCACGGAGGATAGGTTTTAGACTTTTAAAACATTGTAAAAAATCATTAATTGCGGTTAAAAATCTAGAACCTGAGCTGCAATATCTACTTAATTATGAAAGATCAAAACACAATAAAAGTGTAGGTCAAACCCATTTATTTTTATTAAATATCAAGGGGTAACACCATTTCGTGAGATTCACCCTTACATACTTTTATATTTGGTTTAATTATACAATATTTAAAATAAAACATTCTATTTTAAGTAAAATTTTTTGAATCAATATTTGTTAATTATTTGATTTAAGTAACAATTCATTTTTAATTTAATTTAAATTTATTAATTTTAAAAATTAAAACTGCTCCCATGTTTATTATTTTACTACTAATTGTGCATTAAATTAATATTTTTAATAATTTAATTAAATATTACGATAATATTATTTTAATTTAATTTTAGTGGTTGGACCAAAAAAGGTGTAAAGGGTAAAATAAATTTCTGAAATTTGAATTTAATAATTTTAAATGAACTTTGTGTGACCCTAAAAACAAATCCTTCAAAGGATTTTGCGGTTTGGGACCTTATAAATAATTAAATTTTCATTAAAATAACATTCAACAGTGTTGTTACTTCATAAAATATAAGGAAAAAATTCATTTTAAATTACAGATTACGTTGACATGCTCTGTCTATCTAATTGCATACGAATTATCATTGCGCTCTTAATGGCTTCTATTTAAAATTACTTTCTATATTGTTGAAACAAATGTTTTTGTATATCGTTAATGTCCATTAAGAAATAAGCTCCATTGTTTGTTGAAAATCATCCTATTATTAGACTACTTGAAAAACGGTTGTTAAATTGTCTGCTAAACTTTTTCAGAAGTCATTTTTGAAGATTGCATAATGTTTGGGTATTTTATTTAACGCTCTTTATAAACGAGTTGCATACTAAACTTTTTCTACTTTTTATTATCTTAAAATGATTTAAATAAAAAAAAATTTATAGAGCGCCATCTATGAAACAATAGGTGAATCTGTGTGTCACCGTCAAATGTCAATTTTTTATAAACTCAGATTATAAAGGTTATAAATCGAAATGTATTTCTTAAAAATGGACAGTTTTTTACAGTGAAAGTAAAGAAAATGTATTATGAGCACTTTACAGTGGAGTCCGTGCCCGAATTTAAGTTATAGTTACAGTACAATGTTCATATAAACTTTTCAAATATTGGCGTTGAGAAACTATTTAATACTTTTGTATTTTTGTATTGAGATAATAAAATAATTTTCACATTTAGTATTATTTTACAAGAAAGGCACTTTATTCTAACGATTGTATGACATTTGGCAACTGTCAACTAACTTAAAACTAACTTCAGCCCTTGACTAAAAACCTGTTGCCAACTTCAGCCAGTGACTAAAGCGCCATAAAGCCACAACTTGGCAATGTGTATTTAAAAGGTTACTTAGTGTCATAAAAACATGTACGATAGCAACAGGTTTTTAGTCGCGGGCTGAAAATTAATTTTAAGTTTGTTGACAGTTTTTTAATGTCATACAATCGTTAAAATTCTCTTTACTTTCACTGTAAAAAACTGCTTCTATATCGGATTTAAAAGGTTCTTAGTCCATTTTCAAGGCATAACTTTCAAATTAGACAGAAAATGTTTACAAATATTTATTTAAAATCGTTTTTAGATAATAAAAATATAGTATGCAATTGCTGGAATGAAGTTTTTTAGATACTCATTTAATTAAACTAAAATGGCGTTTATCAAACTTGATACATAATACCAATACTTCGCTCAAAAAGACTCGCTTTTAAGTATTGACATAAATAACTATATTTTAAAGTAGAATACAGTAAAAATATTAGTTTAAAGTGGAAATATTTACGTAAAATTACCGTAAAAAATCACTTAAAATAAAATAACCTACAAGAAATTTTCTTTTGTAAAAATTACTTTAATAAATATCGAGTCACATAAGTTGTAAAACGTTATTGGCAAGATTTTGTACCTTATTGACAGTTTTAAGGTTAATTTAACAAGTTATTACTTATATTTAAAAAATATTTTTTTTGTATTTTTGTTTACTATAAAAATAGTATATTAAAGAACTAATGTCATAAGACGTCATTTTGTCGCACGCGGACAATTTATAAAACGAGCGACGAAGGAGCGAGTTTTATAATGGACAAGTGCGACAAAAGGTCTTATGACATGAGTTCTTTATGCTATTTTATCTATTTTGCAAACATTTTATAAAACAAATTAATTTTATACCTTATATTTAATTTGGTGGAATTTTACTTTACATAGTTGGTATCACATTTTGAAGTTTGAAGGGTCATTAACCTTTCAAACATTATCACATTCTTTCGCTATGGCGTCGTTAATTTACAATAAGTATTTACAATAAGCGGCTGTTAAAGAAGAAAAAAGGATTTTCTTTGGTGTTAAACAAAATTTATTGCACGAAAAGTCTCGTAAGTACTAGAAAACAAATCATAAAAATATTATAACCTATAGGTATTCAAAATTGTATTTTACCAGTAGCCAACCTATAAAAACAAAATTTTGGGTGGAATAAAGTACCTCATTAAAGAACCAAAAGCGGTGTTATAATGAAGTCATTATGAAACCAAAATAGATAAATGTCTTTTACCCACTCATATTAAAATTACGTTAAATAAATATCATTAAGGCATTATAACTCTATAGAGTTGTAAAACTTCATTGACAAGATTTTTTACCTTATTGACAGTTTTAAGGTTAATTTAACAAGTTATTACTTATATTTAAAAAATATTTTTTTTGTATTTTTGTTTACTATAAAAAATGTCTTTTACCCACTGATATTAAAATTACGTTAAATAAATTTCATTAGGACATTATAACTCTACAGAGTTGTAAAACTTTATTCACAAGATTTTTTACCTTATTGTCAGTTTTAAGTATAATTTAACAAGTTATTACTTATATTTAATACGATTTCGATATTAACCGTGATTTAAACCAATCGGGTTTTAAATTAAAAAAGGCGACTATAATAACATTTAAAAGTGTTAAAAAGTGAGGTTAACCATTTGACAGATGTCAGATTTTATTTATTTATTTTTAAAAATCATTTAATTATCTACTTAATCCTCATCCTAAGTGGTAATTTTGCTTTAGAGGTAGCACAACCGTTGATAGATTTTTTAGATTGTGAATTTAGCTTAACAAATTTTAGGTACCTTTTAATTTTTTTGATTTTTGTACCATCTTGATAATGGTTAAATAATAAAAAAATATATAGTATTAAATGTATACAACAACAATTTTTAAACCCATTTTAATTTTTGTCGAAAAAACACTTTTATATTTGCCAACAAAACAAATATAAAAAATTAATTTTCAGGCATTTAAAAAATGTACTTATAATTTTTAAATTTTGTGACATTTTTAATAAATACTGTACAGGGCATTTTAAATCTAATAGACCCTTTTGTTAAAAAAATATCACTTGTTGACACTGTTTAATTCCACTTTAAATTTAAACACCCTGTACAGTCCTTTACTGTGTCACCGCCACTAATATGTACACTATGTATTATATACATACAACACTTTTTGACACAATTAAATTACATACCACAAAAATCTTCATCTTGTATTTATTCTTTAAGTTAAACACTTGTTGAAAAGTCTGTAGTACACTGCCTTTATTTCCCTTGTCCCTCTGTATATATACAATTTACCCCCAATTTGGCGAATTTTCATTGTCTCGATGCTACTCGATTTTGTTTTTTGTAGGAGGGGGCGCCCCCTACTTTCTTTAACCGGGTGAAATTGAAAAAGGAGTAAAAGTCGTTCGTTTTCAAGTATAATTTTTCGACCTACAATTATTAATAAATGCCAAAACTAATAAATTGGAAACAATATTACTGATAAAAAATAGCAGTCAGTGACTTATAAAAACATTGAGAAGCCAACATTATAAAAATTTAAAAGTTATACACAGTATTTGCCAAGTTTGAAAAAAACTCAACAAAGCTGTAGGATGTCAACTAGATAAAGCATTAGAGACAGCAAAATATAAAATTTATTTTATAAAATAATTATTTTAATGAAAAAAGAATGCGTAACTGTAACAATTTAATAAACCAACAATATTTTAATTAACAATTTGTATTACTAATTTATTACTAAATGTTTAAATTGGCCTCCATTTCCATTTAAGCAATTCTTAATTTTTACTTCTATAGTACTACCAAATACTGTTGGTTTATTAAATTGTTACAGTTAAATTAATAATTAATTTTTAATATTTAAAATTTTAGAAATTGTTAAATATCTCTTAAATTATTAACTTCAATCGAAAGGTTGATTATGTTACATTTAAAATAAGAAAGTTTAAAGAATTGACAAAAAATCTTTTAAACAATGTTTTAGGATTCCAAAAATCCCCCCCCCCCCCATATAGGAAAACCTAATAACAAAAAAGTTATAGGCTATTTTGAATTGATGCGCATTTGTCAATTTTTAAAGAAAAAAATGAATATCTCGAAAACTATTCACTTTAGGCATAGGACTTGGAATAATAATATTAATCGGAATTTTATGTGCAATTTAAAAATGTAAATATATATGGGGTGATCTATTTGAAATAACAAAATTGTTTCTAAAATTTTTCTTGCAAAAAATTAAATAAAAACTCAATAAATACATAAGTTTTATGCCCTTAAAGCTACTCATCCAGCTATTAGCTTAAGCAATGATTAGAAAATTTATTTTAAAAACTCCATAACTACAAAATTAATTTTGTCATTGGTTTTTTCTTTCTGTGTACTCAGATGATATTAGGACAAGTTTACAGGTTAAACTGTAAATATATCCAAAAGCACTTTCCTTAGTTAAGATATTTACAATTCGAGCACATATCCTAAAATTTGAAAGAAATGCTCTAGATTCTGTCATAAAAATTGCCAGATTTTGTTTAAATTTACCTTCATTACAAAAATGACATAATAAACAATTAATAAAAAAGCCAAATTAACAATTTGCATTGTTAATTTTGTCATTTTTGTAATTAAGCTAAATTTAAACAAAATCTGGCAACTTTTTTGATAGAATCTGGAAACGTTGGTTGTTATCAACCATAACATAATAAATTAAATTAAATTTAAAAAGGCAACCAGATGAGCCTAAAGTTCCTGGTCGATCAGTGGCGTAGTTTTTGATATGACAAAGGTTATTATAAATTATTTTTAGTCTTCAGAATTTAGAACTACCCATTTTAATATATTACATTGATTATATTACACCCTTTATTTAAAAACAATTATTTAGTTTCATTTTTATTTGAAATATAAACAGAAGGTTCATTTAAAAACTTTTCACCTTAAATTTCTCGAAAAATAAAATGTTTTAAAATCGATTGATTCGTTTTAAAGATATATAAGAAAAAACATTCTTAGAAGTTAAGCGCAATATTAATAAAGAAAAACATAGAAATGATATTTTTAATGTAATGTTTTCTTACATTTTTAGTTATATTAATATTTAAAAGTAAATATAAAAATACAATGTTGCACTAAAATCTAAAACCCAGATAACAGATTATTCAATATAACACTACTTTTCACAATCATAATCCCGATATAAATTTGAAACAAATAACTATTATTAAATTATAGGAAACATTCTAATTAACCCATCCCAACGAAACCAAATTATATAATCAGCGTCAAAACCTTTCAATTTAATAACTGGTCTTTAAAATGTGATTGAGTTTTGCATTTTGAAATTTTTGTCGCGAAATGTATTGGCATTATTGAACAATTTAAATCCAAAATGGAATGTAAAAACTGCTATTCATGCTGATTAGTTTTAATATATTAAATAGTATTGTTTATTTTGATTTTATAGGTTGGCTATACTTTAAACAGCATAATATTTTGCCTATTGGTTATAATATTTTTATGATTTTTCTTGTACTTAAAAGACTTTTCTGGCAATAAATTTTGTTTAACACCAAAGAAAATCCTTTTTTTCTTCTTTAACATTAACAGCCGCTTATTGTAAATAAGTAAATTAAGGACGGCATGGCGAATCGATTTTGACATTAACTGTCAAACCAATGTCTGTGATACCAACTATTTAAAGTAAAATTCGACCAAATTAAAATAAGGTATAAAATTAATTTTTTATATAATTTTTGCAAAATAGATAAAATAGCATAAAGAACTCATGTCATAAGACCTTTTGTCGCACTCGTCCATTACAAAACTCGCTCCTTCGTCGCTCGTTATTTTTTACTACGTAAATAGTTCAAGTGTGACTAATTTAAGATTAGTCACCATCTTTGACTATTTCTAAAAGTTAAAAGTAACTAATTTCTTTAATCGTTTGCGGCCAACAACAAAGTATTATTTGAATTAAATGCATATACCTAAGCTCCGTGGTTAAATGACCCATACAAACAAATAAAGATGCAAACAGTTTAGCTCAAACCAGCAACACAAATAATATATTCAACTTTAAAATATTATGAACAATATTTATTGACAAATAAAATTGATTTTTATAAGAGCGGCTGATAGCCCAATGGGTTATGACAACAGCTTGACAAGTGACAGACCTGAGTTCAATCCCCGGCTGGGTTAAAACTTTTTTTAAATTTAAATCCACTAATTTGACTATTTCATTCAGTAGAATTTGACTAATTATTAGTGACTGCTTTTTCGCCAATTCGACAAATAGTCAAATATGCATTTGGAGTAACAGGGATTTGCCCTGAGTCTGTTAGGAGGATGTTTAAACATCACAAATTCCACCCCTTCAAAATGTATGTTACACAAGAACTTGGCGATGATGATGAAGACAGGCGGTTGGAATTTTGTGAAATCATGACCAATAAAATAACAAATCAGATCCAAATACTAAAAAACATTTGCGAGAAGAGGATGAACTAGCTTTGGATGAAAATTAAAACAAAATTTCTTCTTAACAGTGTATTAATAAATAGATATTAAAATAAGTTACTTGGAGTTTATCAGTTTGTTCAAATTGTCTTGATGCCTATAGTTTTCCAGGAGTTTTGAGGTTACTTCAGCAACTTTGGCATTATTCCCATTGGTATTCAAATTACCCGGGTACAATGGCACTTGAGTGCCTACAGGAGCTGATGCTTCGGCAACGTATTGGTCCTGTTGTATCTCTGAAGGTTCAGGGTATTCCCCCTCAGGCTGAGGCTGTTCCGTTGTGGGATACAACCCCGTATTCCTCAGTATAAACGAGACGATGCCATCGTATGGGCTGGAATCTTCGGATGGAACGAAGGATGCCGCCCAAGTGGCAGCTCTAGCCGTATAACCCAATGCGGTCCTCAACAAATTCAGGTTATCGGGAGTCCAAAGTGAGGCCAAGAAGTTCACGAGTCTGAACTTGAAGTTGAAAAGTTCCCCGAATACTTGCACCTTCCACGCGAAGTGATCCACGATTCTCGATATGAGGCTCCTGATGTAATCATTGTTTTCTGATCCTACGGCAGTTCCAGTGTTCAAGTTAGAGCTCTGGCAGCTGGCTGCCACTAGGATTGCCAAAAATATCTAGAAAAATACAGTGTTAAATATTTTTGGCCTTTTCCCTAAAAAAATCAATTTTTAAATAATCCGGACCACAGATACAAGGTTTTTAGTCACGGGCTGAAGTTAGTTTTAAGTTGGTTGACAGTTGTCAAATGTCATACAATCGTTAAAATAAAGTGCCTTTCTTCACAATCCACACAACAAGGTCTCGTACTAAAAATACACAGTTTAACGGTGGCCATTTTTGTTGTTTACAATTTTTGTGCTTTGGGTTTGTGCTCTGATTATACAGATTAATAATCGTTTTAAACGTTGTGTTTCTCATAGTAAGCCTTAAAAGAGTCCTTAAAGTGCTAAGAACAACCATTTTACTCCTCTATTGTAAAAAATAAACCTTATTCTATCAGGGCTGTCATAAAACTGTCAAATGTCAATTTTAAGGTTAAATTATAACCCACAAATTAACCTTCAAATTGTCATTTGACAGCCCTGATAGAATAAGGTATATTTATTATAAAAGAGGAGTAAAATGGTTGTCCTTAGCACTTAAAGGCCTTATTTGAGGCTTACAATTATTAAACAGCACAAACCCAAAGCACAAGAATGGCCGCCGTTAAACTCTGTGAAGTGTTGCAGTGATTTTTAGTATTTTTAGCATGAGATAGAACAGACCTTGTTGTGAGGATTGTGCCTTTCTTGTAAAATAATACTAAATGTAAAAATTATTTTATTATCTAAATACAAAAATAGTTAATTAGATTTAACTGATAGAGCGTTAAAAATTTGCGTACAGTGCCCATAAAACATTCTCTTCTCTTTTACTGTAAAAAACTGCTTCTATATCGATTGCTAGTCTATTTTCAAGGGATAAATTTTGAAATTTTAACTCCGGTAGATTTCCAAGTTAGAAATTCTAACGGGAATTCCAATAAATGGGTCGTTTTAAAAAAACACCCGCCTTCCGCTGTCCGTAAGTTTGAATTCCAATAACCAAGTGAAAGCCTAACAAGCCCTTAGTAAACTCTTTCAGAAAATGTTTGTTTAGTTATTTCAGAATATTTTTTTTTTAATTTTGAAACTTGTGAAAGACACATTTTCGCATGTCCCATTAGCGTTTTATTAAACTTAC